ACTGGCCTTCCAAGATGCCCCGGGGTCTGGTTTGGAATTGGCTAAATGCACGTCACTCTCGGTGCCGGTGTAGGGTAGGATCGCACACAGGTCGTTGCGACTCTGGTGGCGACTGGCGGCGACGCCCAGAGACTGCCTTGCATCCCATTGCGAGCGTTGCTGCTGCTAATAAACGCCTCAGCCTGACAGCGTTGACCGTCACGGTGAACGATGCCATGGATGAAGACCGCGCGTAAAGGGGTGGGTCCGCATCGCGCGTGGGCATGTTGACCACATTGATGTGTATCCTGCAGCACAGATGCAAGTGGTACGGCATGTGCCAATCGCAGCAGCAGCAGCGTCGTGCCAGCAACGGTCGTGCGCGTTCCAAGTTGCGTGCGTCTAGCCTAGGTAGCGACGGGACCATGGGCCATCGCGTGCCCCGGGGTAGCGTATCTTTGGCCCCCAATTGCGCCATGTGGCATTCCAGATGCACCACATTTTTGGCGCGCATTCGTGCGCTGGTCCCAAATGGGTCGATCGACTTGTATTGCCCGCTAATATCACTGCGCTCATAACTTCGTTGTACAGGACATATATGCCACGACCTGCTTGAGCGTAGGAGTTGATATCGCAAGACCTGGAGCTATATTCATGGGGTTGCTGCCACGGCGTACCTTCAACGTGCAGTAGTAGCCACAGTCTCTGCCGGCTGAAGCGAGTGGCAAGCTCGCCTTCTCCTCGTACACAGTATGTATTCATACACAGTACTGTACGTTGCGTGGTCGGTTGACGTAGTATCCTGCAGCGATGGGCGAGAACTCCGCGAGGCAACCAGACGGAGATCGTGGGGCTGTCTCGGCCGTCGTGGAAATGCGATGCGAACGAGTGATGTTCGCTCGGGCTTCTTGCAGAAAGCGACGAGAAGAAAAAGCTGGTGCCTTCAATCTCTCGACCGCGCACCGTCAACGCCGCTGCCACTGGTCGTTGTGGTCACGGAGAGCGAGAAAGTCGATGCAAGGCTCTTCAACGTACTTAAGTACTACGGCGCACGACGTACGGAGCAGGAAGGGCATCGGCAGGAGTTTGCTGCACCGGATTGAAGGCAGCGGATTCTCTTTCACCGGTCGCCGCGCCTTTGCTTCGAGAGAAGAGCCAGCCAAGCGACAGGATCGATGTATGCCTCAGAGAGGTCCAATAGTTGTGTAGTCGTGCATAGTCCCTTTAGAATGGAAGGCTGCGACCCGGACTGCGACCCAGACTGCGCCCCAGAGTTTACAATCAAGAACATAGGTATTTTGAGGTCCGTGTCCTAATAGTAGATCTTGAAGCGAGTGTCGATGTGTGCACGTTACGTCGCCTGTCCAGAAAGACAGATGCTGTAGACACGAAACGGTCCGACTATAAATAGAACGCGGTCCGACTATAGAACCATGCTATCGAACGCTGCGTGTGAAGAGACGAACGCTGGCCGTGTCTGGCTTGCAGAAATCGCACACTCGTTTCGGTATTCGATTAGTTGCTGTATAAAACTAGAGACGTGGGTCGCTTGTACCGTGAGATTCAGCAAAGAACTTGCGTCCCTCGACGAGACGAGCCATCTCTTTCCGTCGTTCGCTCGGTTCGCTCGCAGGGCGTGGATTGGCCGTATGTGCTTGCGGCCAGGCGTTTGACGACGCGTTTCGTGAGCTGTCTATCAAGCGTTCTCTTCCACCGTGGCCGCATTCACGCTGCATCTGAAGATTGTCAAGGGAGCGATGTATCCGAGGCCGCAGTGCAGGAGTGTGAGCTAGGGTAGCCTTGCAACGAGGGCCCGCCGCGTCCAGTGGGCCGCTATACTACATGGAAGCAGCGGACGGCGAATGGTATTTCTTGCAACACAAATGCAATTTCTCCCTATTTTTCAGAAACTATCTCTCGAATTTCAAAACGACAAATATGGCACCATTGGATAAATAAAAACTGTTAGAAAACGCGCTACGACGTAGCTAGTGCCACTGGCTATTGGTGAGCAAGTCGAGCGACGAGCCACCGCGCTTGCCACGAAAGAGGCGTCGAAAAAAGTTCTGGACGCGCACGCGCTTCTTGATGCGGTCTTGGGTCGGCGACGGCGGCGATTTCGGACGCGCCAGAAACGGATGTGAGAGCACTTGCTGCATGCAAAAGCGTTTGGCGGGGTCTTCGACGAGGAGGCGTTCAATGAGGTCGATCGCGTCGT